TGTAAAAAAATGACTGCTGTACAATTTCTGTATTGTTAATTTTATCTCTTCAAAATATTTTGGGTAAAATCTAAGAGATTTGAAACAGGCTCCCCATTTTCCTACTACTATCAAACTCTATCTTGGACAATATCAGGTAACTCTTGAAAAGCATTAATAACATAAGCCTAAAACAAGTGATGGTAAAATATCTCCCTTTTGCAGAAAATTAAACAGATAGATTTTTGGGAATGTGATTTTTTTCAAAGCTTAGCTTTTCGATGTCCATCGTATGATATATTTATAATTAAAGGGGCTAAGAGAAACGAAAAAAATATGCTTTCTTTTTGCCCTCTTTGCACTTGAATCCCCTGGGTTTAATACCGGCTCGGCGGTAGTGATACCAGGGCCTTACGAAAACCGGTATTAAGGTATTCTTTCTTTGTTTTTACCGAATCAGTGCGGTTTTTGGAGCCCCTAGACTCCTCAGAATTCGCATTTTAAGGGTGTCTTTTGAATACTCTTGATCATGTAACATTTACTGGTTAGAATTGTGGACTAATGTGCTTCCCTCAACTAGGTAATGCTATTTCAAAATTATAGAGTTTAGGTATAGCCTTTGGTTTTTAATCGTTAAATATTTTTTTTCAGCTATTTCACTAGTCTTCCTTTGAGTTTTCAAAAAGAATAATGTGCGTTTATTAGTTTGTAAATACATCTATAATAAACTTCTACCTCTTATTGTCTGTTTCTCATGAAGGGTTGTTTATTGTTGCTTTGATATTTAACTTGATTTGTTGGATTTTATTGAATTCAAGCTACTTCACTTAAAAGATATTAAGGTAAATATTATTTTAAGTATTGTAAGATTATTTGTTTTAAGATAGAATAATTTAATTTGTTTTAAGACGTAAATATTTGTATTTACCTGTACATCTTACAATGATTAAGGTCACTCAGTCTAACCCAAAGGTCAGAGGGCGGATGGATGTTCGAAGAAATATTAAAATAATGTTTTAAATTGTTTTTTTTGATAACGAACAAGACGTGTAATAAGGTACTTGATACAAAAAAGGGCCCTATGCTCAATTAAGGCCTGTAGTGCGAAGAGTATTTAAAATATATTTACATCAAAAATATTTCTTACCCCACATAGACGACGGCTCTACGGATCGGCAAAAAGTGTGCAAGACGCCTTTCGCATCCACAGCGAAAATGGGAGGCGGTCTTTGGGGTGAAAGAGGGGTGTTTTTGTAGCTCGTTTTAATATATCGTGATTTTTGTCGATTTTTAATACGGTGTGTTATGTAGTTTTGTTTCATGCGATGAATATAGATCACAAATAGCTTATTAAAAATGTACTATGCCTCTAAATTATAATTTTTAGGGTTATGTAATGAAATACAGCATAAAACCATTTCTGAAGTATCAAGTACTAAATAAACCTAGCTGTAACAATAGGCGTTATTCGTTCTTAGAGGAGTCTGTTTTATTTTAACTTCATTATATAATTTACAAATTTGGTTGTCTGATTATGTCTCCTCCAAAACCAAAGGGGTGCTACGTGTCTGAAAAAAGCTTGAGAGCCGCGTTAATGATGATTCCATTATGTTTCAAGGCTTTATTTAGTTGGGTACCTATCGAGGTTTTTTAAATTTTAAACATTTGTAATATTTTTGAGAAGACGTTAATTTGAAAATTTTTTTACTGTTTTTTTTTACAATTCTTTATTTCGTGTTAATATGCGACTTCAATTCTGACTAGCAATTTATGCGAAATATTTTGTAAAATTTAAATAAGAAAGTTATGCAAGAATCTCATTTAAACACTTGGTAAAAGGCTCAGAAATACATATTTTTAAAAAAATTTAATACTCTAAAAACAACATTCATATAATTTAAGTTTATAGGCCTTTATTAATCACTATGTTTTAAATAGGCCAAAGGTCCAGTATTACCTCTGTTTAAGTGATTTTAATGAAAGTTTTTAATATTTTCCTCATTATTTAAAATTTATAAACAAAAAAATAAATACCTTACTTTATTTATCACCTTCTTCAAATATTTATTAAGATATGAGTGTTTGAAATAAGGGAGGCCTTATTTGTATCACTTACCTTATTTTGCTACATATATAGTAATAAACTCTTAGCAATATTGGTTTCCAATGGCCGTCAACACGTATTCAAGCTAGTCTCTTCAAATTACATCTCTGTTGTGACGCATATTCGTATTAACATACGAATACGAAATAGCTATGTGGTTAAACAAGAGGGTAACACCCTCTTGTTTAACCACATACCTATTATCGTGCATTTCGCATGTGTTATTATGACTATGTTAGTTTCACCCGCAATGATTAGTTCGACTTTTAAATAAATAAATCTTCAATTTCATGCTACGTAAATAGCTTTTGGAAAACATTTTGCTTCCTAATAAATAATAAGTTAACACTTTTCTTACAGCTTGTAGAAAGTAGTTTTGACAGTCACCATGAAGATGAATTAAAATCTTTCGCATCATTAGAGAGAGGTATAAATTGTCAAGATTCAGACGAGCTTTCTTTTTTGTATCCTTTTATTATATTATTTCATTAATGATTCAAGGGGCTCATGGCTAAATAGTCACCGAGTAGTTTAGCAAATTGCAAAGTTAAGCATTCATAAACAGGTCAGTCTGGGTGACCATTCTTAAAACGTTGAGACCCCTCCATGCATCGGAGAGCACGTTAAACTGTCGGTCCCGGTTGCCATACCAACAATTGGAGTCCTGAACGTCCGTAAACAGTAGATAGACTGTTGTTTGACTGTGTTGTTGACTCTGTAAATAACCTAGTGCTTGGGTTGCGGGGGACTGATAGCAGTCGCGAAGTCCAGCTGTGTCATAGTAGACAAAAGCCGACCCCAACTTAGTTTAGCAAAAGGCTTGATGGATGATGATTTAATGATTCATGGATATCAATCATTGATTAAACCAAACATACCTACAGTAATACGCATAGTAATTATTATTAAGACTTTTGGTAAGAACTATTATGAATGTGTTCACTCCCACTCCCAAAATACATTATTAGGTACCCTAATATTTGGCAATCCATCTCGATTAACTTCAGCAAAACATGTGACAGGAGATAGGTATTGAAATTTAATTACTGTTTCCTAAATATTGTACACTATTCATACGTAGTTATAACAGTAACATTTCAACGGAAATAAGTAGGTAATACTCAGGTTGTGTACATGATAGCTAATACTCTTCCTTGACTCATATACTCAGGTTGTGTATATTATAGTTGCATTTTTTGGAACTGGAAATATAGCATCATTGATTCATTTGAAGTCAGATGGGTGACATGTTTATAACATCATTTCAGCCATTTATAATAACTGCACTTGTTCTATTAAAAACTTTAGCACATTCTTGAGTGTTGCGTGTAGTTTTCGGGTGTAAACATTTAACTAAGGTAAAAAACATATTGTTATTAGATAATTTAACTTAATATAAATAAACTGTGTATTATTGATTTCAGGCCCACATGTTACCTAAATATGATAGTATTAATATATTCCAATCTAATGGGAATACAGTTGTTATACAATGTGAAAAATACAGGAAGCTGGCTAGAGATTGGGACATCTATATCACAATTTGTTATTGTTCAAGTTATAACCTTGTTATTGTTATAATTAATTTTATTGCCAAATTGTTGACAGATATCAGTATTCATAGTTTTACTGGTAAAATATTTAGAAGCAGAAAAAAAAATGTTTAAAATTATTTTATTTTATTTATTTACCCTAATCATAACTCTTTGTGTTTATTATGATTTCTACAAATTTATAAGTACAGTTCAAAATTATTCTGTTAGAAGTGTAAAACTGGCTGTCCTCTCCATGCTTCTCTAACCCAAACACCACTTTTAAAGTACCTTCTTCTGACCATTTCTGCATTTGCTGAGTAGAATGTGGACCAGATACATCTTCATCCTTTTGGTCCCACTTAAACTCCCATTTTACTTCTTTCTGTTTATCTTCCTCACCATCACTTTCATTCTTATCAGGATTACTCTTCTCTAAAACATTTCTTCTTTTACATCAAAGTCATCGGCATACATGTCTAGATCAGCATCTTCTTTTTTGCTCTCCTTTTTAGCTATGGTTGCACTTATTTTTTCATAGGTTTCTTGGTAAATATCCATATTACCCATTTTAGTTAGAATCTGATTAGCAAGTTCTGTTACTCTGTAACTAATTTGCTATTTCATCAACAATACCAGCTTTCTTCCTTTTCCAGCGCTCAACACTGGAGACTTTAGAACTAGCACCTAAAAATGAAAAAAAGCAGGTTATAAATCTTATAAGTCTACTAACAATTGTTAATTTTTTATCTACTGATACTGTTATATGAATAGTGTGTTAAATGCCTCAACGATTCATTTACAGACAGGCCTGATGGTCTGGTGGTTAAGAACCCTGACTTCTAAGAGGTTGGGGAGGTGCTGATGCCAGAGGTTGTGGATTCCATTCCTACCATGGACAAATAATTGTGTGATGAGCACAATCAATTTGATATGAATTTGAAAGAGAACTGTTACTTTTACTATTTGGCACTACTATCTAAGTACCTTTATTATTAAAATGTTAGGTAAATTAAGTCATCATCAACAGCCTATAACTGTCCACCGCTGGACATAGGCCTCTCCTTAGAACGGAGGTTTCAACATACTGGTAAATTAAGTACTAATTAGTAATATCAGGAAATAAAAGTATTCAAATGATCCTGTTACCTAGCCTTTGTAAAGCCTTTGCAATTGTTTCTTTAGGCTTCATGTGCTGTATAATTTCTTTATAATTCTGCAACAAATCAAATTTGTCCTCAGGTTCATCTTCATCACTGCTAGATTCATCACCAAGTCCTTTGTTCTCATCATCTTTGTGAACTTTGTATTTATCTTCAGGTCTCCCTTTAACCTTGACCCAGTCAATATTATCCAGCCAACCATCTCGGATTTCTTTTTCTTTCTCCAGTGGTAGTGTCCTGATTATCAAAGTGTCCCTCTTCAAGTTCTTCCTTCATATTGAACGGTGTAATTGTTATCTGTTATGACAAAAAAAAATCCAATTAATTTTATAAATGGATAATGAATGTGATTACTTAATCATTCCAGAATAACTGAATAGACCTGGATAAAATTTTGACACATAGATTATAATTTGGAATAGCAAATGAGGTTACTGTTTATCAAGTAATTGGCTAGAAAACGCCGTAACTATTTACGGATATTCAAACAACGAAAATTGCGCCAAACAACTTGTTTGTATAATTTTTTAGAATTAATTGATTTTATCACTTCACTTCCATTCCTCCGATGCATCTTCTTCGCCCTCAAATCATCGCATTCAAGCATTATTCTTTTCCTCCCACACGTCCTGGGCTATGGGCTTAATTTTTTACCGAGATCAAGCTAAGGGAGTGTTTT